CAAGTGGCCTCCTCTGGACCCTCTCCATGTTGTCCACATCCCTCCTGATGTGCGGCGCCCAGAACTGGATGCAGTACTCCAACTGTGGCCTGACCAGTGCTGCATAGAGGGGAAGGATCACCTTGGACCTGCTTGAGATGCATCTGTGGATGTAGGACAAGGTACAGTTGGCCTTTCTGGCCACATCCCCACTGTCGGCCCATGTTCGTTGTGGCCACCGGGCTTCGAATATCCATTCTCATGCGACTTTCGCCCTGGTGGTAAACGTAGGGTGTCCTATGGGCTCGTGTCATTGACCAAGCAGGTGTCTCCTCCTTGAGTCACCTTCCCCGTCCTCTTCTGCCATGACTTGTTGTTCTTCAGTAGATGGGACTGGTCATCGGGTTTGCTCAGCAGCCCGTGGTTCGCCCGGCAGTCATTCACAGGGCTCCGCCACCCCTACACCCTGGCCTCACGCCCCCTCATGTGAGTCATCCCTCCGTCGGCCTCGTTCCCTTTTGTGGAGTCATGTCTCACGACTTGATGTCTGTGTACTCATCGCCTGTGGTCAGGTTCGCCCGTGCGGGCCTGCCCCCTCTGCCTTTCCTGCCTCCACCTCTTCTTTGGGGAAACACAAAAAAAACTTCCAAGGTTCTCCCTTGGCCCCGTTCCTCAGGGATACTCCCAGTACCTTCTACTCTCCCCCTTCACACAGGGCAACCAAACAGAAACGCGTCAACAAAACACTAATGTGATGAGCCACCTCCTGACGTGGCTACGCCCTGTCCCCTTAATATTCTTCCCCTTGCTCTAGCTTGGGAACACTCTTCTTACTGCCATTCGCCTCCGGGATTCACTCCCATTCTCCCATCGACCCAAATGGGACTGGCGGCAATACCCGCCCCAATTGTAACCCCCTTGGGTCTCTCCCCGGGGTCTTTTTGCTGTGGCATGGCTCCCTTCTCGCCCTGGTCATCCCAATACTCCCAGCTGCGGTCCACTCAAGCGTCAGCTGCGGCTCTGACTCCATCTCCAAATCTGGAGTGCCTGCCACTCACTCGCCTTTCTGTCCGTGCTCCCGATGAGGCGCTCTTCCCCACACTGTTTGTGTCTGCCCCCAGCTTATTGGGCTCTGCGGGTCCCACGGAGATCCTCTTCCCTCCCAGAGGTGGCTGCAGCTCCCTTTTCTCACTGCTCTCTCCTCCTCCTCCTTTTACCTCCGTGGCATCAGCCTCTATTTTTATCTCCACTGGCCAGCGTTTGCAGCTGACGTCACCGGCCGGCCTTAATTGGATAAAGAGGTGGCTGATGAGCCACACGGGCTCTTCTTTCTGCCCCTGCTGTGCTGCATCTCCTGTTGCCAGTGAGTACTCCTTGTTACTTCTTCCCTCTCTTTCCCTGGGACATTCATTTTGGCATCAATAATGACTCCAAGATCCTTTTCTGCCTCTGCACTGACAAGAAGGGAGTTCCCCAGCCTGTAAGTATGGCGCTGGTTCTTCCTCCCCAAGTGCAGTACCTTGCACTTCTCAGTGTTGAAACCCATCCTGTTCTCATCCGTCCACCCCTGTAACCTGTCTAGGTCCCATTGCAGCCTATTCCTCCCTTCTAGCGTGCCCACATCCCCCTACATCTTAGTGTCATCTGTGAATTTGAACAGGGTGCTTTTTATCCCCTCGTCCAAGTCGCTGATGAAGACGTTGAACAGTGCGGGCCTGAGGACCAAGCCCTGGGGGACCCCACTGCCCACATCCCTCCAGGTCGAATAAGACTCCTCCACCACCACTCTCTGGGTGCGACCCTCCAGCCAGTCAATGACCCAATTGACTGTGTAGGTGTCGACGCCACAGTCCCCTAGTTTTTTAATGAGAACGGGGTAGGAGACAGTGTCAAAGGCCTTCCAAAAGTCCAGGAAGACTATATCCACTGCTACTCCTGCATCTAAGGATTTGGTGACCTGGTCGTAGAAGGCCACCAGGTTGGTCTGACAGGACCTGCCTCTAATGAACCCGTGTTGGTTGCCCCTAAGCATAATCTCCCCTGCTGGCCCCTCGTGGACATGTGCCAGGATAATTCTCTCAAAAAGCTTACCCAGGATCGAGGTAAGACTGACTGGCCTATAGTTTCCCGGGTCCTCCTTCCTCCCTTTTTTGAAAATGGGAACCACATTAGCCCCTTTTCTTTATTCCTCTACCCATTGGCATCTGTGCTGGGGAGGCCAAATCTTCTATTGATGATTCTCTACAGCAGGGTAGGAGGCATCTTTAGGCTTCTCAAAACAAGACCCCTGGGATGTTTTGACAAAAGAAGATGTAAGGGATGTTTTGCTGTCTGAAGAGCTCTCGCAGCTGTTTTGCCCCTTTGCAATATCCTGGTGAGGTCTTGGTGAATTTCTGAAGTTTGGCAGTTGCCAAACGGGTTCCATCATCCCTCTCATATCCACTGTGTTGTGTACTATGTGTTTAAGAGGGATAAATACCACTTGTGTTTCTTTGCTTTGAAATATCCTTGAATTCAGAGTAGTAGTCAACTAACAGTAATTAGTCTCTTTGTCAAATTCAAATAAATGCTTTCCTTGCTTTTGCATTGTCTCTCTACATATTATGCCCTTGGATTGGCTCTCCCAGGGGCTTTTTATGCAGCAATTATATCACAACAAGCTCTCATTACTGTTATCTGAGAACTTAGGCCAGGCTAGAACAAAATATACCTTGCCTTTGCTTATATTTTTCAGTATCTGGATGGCTGCCGTGTATTTTAGTGAGTGGCTCTTTCCCCAGAGCTGGGGAAAAAATAAGTTCTTCTCTAATATGTAGAACACTGTCCTCTCCACTAATTCCATCCCTGCCTGGCCAATGTTGCCCCAGATAGAGAGAGAGGTCTAATTCTAGCTCTTTCATCAGGTCAGTCTCATAAAATGTGTAGGCTGCACTAGCTTAGCCTGTGCTTCATAAACTAGCTCTATTCTGAGTGGCTCAGACTCCTGTTTCTGTCACCATTTCCAGTGCCAAGAAATGTAATTTTCCAATGATGCCCAAAAGGGCTTATTAAATATTTTGGATACATATATACATTTAGAATGAGTTTTTCAAATGGTTAATCATTCCCATCATTTTCTGGAGATCCAGTTAACATGGTGGAGTAGGCATTCCAGTTATTGCTTTTGGTGTATCTGGATTAGCAATTAAGCCATCTTTGCTCAATTTACATCCAATAGAAAGAACTTCTGCTAGACCAATTATTGATGGGAGTTAAGCATATGCATGCAACATATTTTTCTCTCACTCTCTGCAAAACTTTCCCAAGACTTTCACAAAGTTCTTTAAGTACCCTAAGCCAAAGTAAAACATTATCCAATATAACACCTTGTAATGCCTCAAAGACTCATGAAATTACTCTCTGAGATACCATGGGAGCAGAATTAATACCAAATGGCATTTCCTTAAATCTGAAATGTTCAAAAGGTGCATTAAAACTCACCAGGTTGCAGCTTGATTCATGTAATGTAACCTGCCAAAGTGCATCCCCTTCATTAATGCTCCAAATACTTTTGCTTCAGAGAGCTTCGTTGCCACTGCTTCAGCAGTTTTCATAGGACGGTGTTTACATTTTATGACTTTATTTAAAACAGGAGGATCAATGCATATCGGTTCTTTATTTGGCTTTGCAATTATAACCATACAGTTAATTGAGTCTGCAATTAATACAATTAATTAATTGTATTTTTCAGCAAGGCCCTGCTTTCTCCATGTCATCATGGAGTTCATTTTTAACACTATCTCTCTCTTAAGAACAAATTGCAGTTGATCAATGGAGCACTACAATTACTGATCTGCTCCCAGGCATCTTCTGCCTTGGGAAACATCTAAGAATTCCCCTACAGGACTGTCATCTCAGAGAGGGTTGACAAGAGCTACAAAGGATGGTGTTAAAATTTGTGGAATTTCACATGGTATCTGGGTGGCTCTTTCAAAAGTGCAATCCATCTCTCTGGAGGAGTGTTCTTGCTGAGTGAATGCTTTTTTGAGATTTGTGAGGTGACGATCATGGGTTTTCTCTTCAGTGCAAATTCAGTGGCATCAGAGGGCTTGGCTGCATATTACAGCTTTCTTGGTGTGTTTAGGGTGATTGCTGGTTCTGTGCAGATATGTATGTTGGTTGATGGGTTTCTTGTATATCATGGTCTGTATTTTACCATTCTGGATAGTGATTATTGCATCTAAAAAGGAGATGTTGGTGCTTGAGTATTCAAGAGATAGTTGGATGGAGGGGTGATGATTGTTAAATTTCTGATGGAATTCAATCATAGATTGCAGGTTTTCAGTCCAAATTATGAAGAAGTCATTGATATATCTTAAGTATAGCAATGTTTGATGGTGCAGTTCTTGAGGAATTCTTCTTCCAGGTGCCTCATAAAAAGTTTGGCATACTGTGGCACTATTTTGGTGCCTATAGCTGTGCCCATGGTCTGGAGGAAGCGTTGGTTATTGAAAGTGAAGTTGTTGTTTGTGAGGATGAAGTGTATAAGGTCAGTAATATCTTCGGATCTGTACTCTGAGTTGTCATCTTGCTCTTGTAGGTATGTAAGGTAGGCTTGGATACCATCCTGATGTGGGATGTTGGTATATAAACTGGTAATATCGATGGTGGCTAGGAGGGTGTTGCTGGGAAGGTGGTCTATGCTTTTATGTGTTCATAGAAAGTCGGTAGTGTCTTGGACAAAACTTGCTGTTTGGGTGACAAGAGGTTTTAGGATTGATTCAATGAAACCTGATATTTCCTTAGTTAGGGTTCCAGGGTTGGATATGATAGGTCTGCCGGGGTTCCCTTGTTTGTGAATTTTAGGGAGCATGTAAAAAGTCCCTGGGTTAGGTAGTGGGGGCATCAAGGTCTGTAGTTTTTTTGCAGTTCTGATGGAAATGATTTGATGGTAGTTTTGAGTTTCAAGGTGAAAAGGAGAGTAGGATCTTCCTGTAGTTTTTTGTAGTAGGTGATGGCAAAGAGTTGTCTGTTGGCTTTTTTTATGTAGTCTTCACAGTTAAGGGTGGCTATGGCTCCTCCTTTATCTGCTGGTTTTATTACTATTGGGCAGTTAGATCTTAGAGCCTATGGCCCTTCTCTCTCACAGGGAGAGGTTGTTATGGTGGTATGTATTGCTGATTATTTCATTGTTCATTCTTTCCCTGAAGCAGTCAATATAATGGCCAAGTTTAGAGTTGCGTCCACTGCGAGGTGTCCAATCTGATGGTTTTGGGGGTTGATCTTTTCCTCGCTGTTGTCAGAGGATGAATTGTTGTTGTAAGTGGATTCGTTTTGGTGTGGATAATTACGAGGCTTTTTTGCAAAAATGTTTTTGCATTTAAAAGCATGTGGAAATTGGCTCCTCCCCCACAGTATTAATGAATCAGTATTTTCCGACAAATAAGTATTTACCCCCAAATTCCTGCCTCTGCTCACCTTCTTCACCCTCCAGCTGAATCATGGAAGATCACCTGTCCATGGGAATGCACTCTTTAATACGGTATTCTGCTCCAGCATGCCCTGTCTTGGGCACCGCAGTCAGTAGTGCTGCGTACCTCTATTACCTCAGAAGAATAGGCCTATCTAGGCGGTGCATCACCATTCACTGTGGGGGGAGACCAATGCAGAGAAATCATTTAGTTTCTCTGCGATGTCCTTCCCTCCTTAATTGCTTCTTTCATTTCCTGGGGGTGTCTAACAGGTGCTCCAATTCCCTTGCAGGTGTTTTCCCTCAGTGATCCTTAAAGAATCTACCATGGCTTGTTTTTCTAACCTTGGCAATTTTCTGCTAATATTCCCTGGTATCCCTCCTACACTCCACCTGCCACAGTGTAGATTTCTTTCCTTTGCCTTCAGGTGAGCTGCGTTTTCATTTTCTAAGGGATGATGCTTCTTCAGCTCAAATCCTGCCTGACCTCTGCCATTCAGCCTATTTGGCCCTTCCCATCCCGTTTCCTTTTCTGTTCCAGGCTCTCTATCACTTCTGTAGTTCTGGCCAGTTAAGCAGCTTCCATTCCAGACCCAAGGGTTTCTATTTCTTTGCTCTGACTGGTCCTCAAGATTTACGAACCTTCTCCTACCCTCCATTTCCCCTGTGCTGCAGTTTTGTTTCCCAATGGATAGATGATTGACTTTTCAGTTTATGGCAGGTTTTTCCTTCTGAAGAAAGCACCAAGCATTCCTGTTCGCAGGTGATGCTGTTGCTCTCTGTTGGCTTTCTGCAGTAAAGAGAGGTAGAGATCAGAGCTGGTGGCTTAAATACTTCTCGGGCCTTCATCTGGGATAACAGGACTAGACACAGTTTAAGCAGCAAGGTGGTTAATGACAGCTAGTCCAGGGAATGTGTCTCATCTTTAGTGGCACAGTTTGTGCAGTGGGACTGTTAGCACAACTGTCTCCCAGATAATCCTAAGGGACTGTTAAAACACGATTAACCCTTAAATGGAATGTGAAATACAAATACAGACAACTCAGTGTCCTAAAATCAAAGTCTAACTTCATTAGTACACCAAGTATTATCTTAGCATTTTCTATATTCAGAGAGAGAAAAACATTCAGTACAGTAATATCACCCAATACCAGATGTTACTTTGCTTAACAGAAAAGACAGCCACTCAGTTCCTGGAAGCAAAGGGTACGTTGTGGGCTTGGATGGTCCAGACAGGTGTTGAAGGCTGGATTTATGACGATGATGACAAACTTTCTTGCTCCCCACTTTTATGCTTTTCTTCAGCTTCACTCCTTTGATGACTCTTTGCTTTCAGATTGGTCTCTCTGCAGTCAGCATACTGTCCATCTTTTATCCCATCAGCATGTTTTTTGTCTAACAGACCCATCACAAGCACACCTCTTAATCTGGCCTTTTTCTGGTGTCTTACTTTGGGCATTGTCCATTGGTCTCCCTTATCGCCTTTCATTAATATATCCAATCCTTTCATCCCTCTGATTCAGCTGGTTAGTGCCAAGTTCAGTTAATTGGAGCTGGTAACAAGGCCATTGTTATGTTAAAAAAAAACTTCTCACAGTGATAAAAATAAAAAGATATATAATGAGCACCTATAAGCTCTACAAAAACAACTCAAAGCCAGCTAATTTAAAAAGTTAATAAGGACAAAACTTAAGCAATGATTAAATAAGCCTAAATATAAACAATACTATAAGCAGGTACAACTTCAAAGCATTAAACATAACAAGCTACCCTAACAGGACCGTCCTGGCCAGTTCCTCTTTCAGTTCAGAGCAAAACCCAGAGGATTCAGGTGAGTGAAGATAGTCTAACCCTTCCCACAGAACATGCTTGCCCCTCAGGGCTCATTAGGCTATAGCCCAGCAGCCTTGATCTGGGCTCTTTCCATCCACCCAGCTCTCTCAGGCAACAGGATCTCAAAGAGGAGAAAGCACAGGGAATGGGGAGGTCTGTTAGGTCAGGCAGCAGCTGTTACAGACCCTGCTCATCCTCAAGCTTCACCAGAGTGACTTTCAGCAGCAATTTGGGCCTGTTGGAGAACACAAGAGGTTTCTGCAGGAGCCATCTGCAGTGGCTGGTTTTGGTACATGCTGCCTCCATTTACCTTGTTGGTAGATGCTGACTCCATTTCTCTGCTTTGGTGGAACTGGCACAGCAAATGTTTTTTATTCCTCTGATTCTCCATAGGGATGCCTGGCACTCCACTGGCCATTTTAAAGAGACAGGACCCTCAGCATTATGAGATCATGATCATGGGGCCAAGCTGGTCCTGAATACCTTCACCACTACATGACTTCAGCTGCCGTAGGTACTGAGCACCCGCCAGGGGCTGATCTTTGCTAGTCCCAGCATAGAAAGAAATGACAAATCATGGGTGTAAGGTGGGGCTGGGCAAGGCTGGTGAGGATGGCTGTGACAGAGAGGTCAGGTAACAAGCTGACAAGCTATCATTACCGATGCGTTGCGTCAGCAGCTCGTTTTCAGTTGTGTCTGTCATGTACCTTACTCAGACCTCTTGTGCTTCAGCCTTGGTTTCTCCAATAGCCCCTCTGTGTGTTGGAAAGTGGCATAGGTGCCAACTTTTATTTTTGCTGGGGGGGGGGCACCCTAAGATGATGCCCTCCCCCCCGCCCGACAGCACAGCCAGAGCAGAGTTGAGGGGAGCCCAATGGGGGTGGGGGGGGGGG